CTCTCCCTCCCCCTCTCTCTTGTGTTTTTCTTTACAAGCTTCAAATTGCCCCTATTGGCTAAACCCACGTTTACCACCGGCTCCAGGTGACCATCGTCTGAGACCATCAAACTCGGGTCACCTGGCCGCGAATCGAACCCGGGACCTCTTGGTTATAGGGCCACCGCTACAACCACTACACAACAAGACCAAAAATGGTCCATATATGGACCAAGTAGCGTCTGAGCTGACATTGCAATCGAACGATACTCCTCCGTTCTTAGTAAAATAGACAATAGTTTTCCAAACATTTTTCAGAATTTTGTTCATTAAAATTGATTAATTTCATCTCAGACTTAATATATGTATAAGAGCCTTTTTCGTTGTATGTTAGCCTAGACAGTGGTACATATTTTGTTCTGCTCATTTGCGTGAAAATGTCTTGGGCACATAAGAAAAAAAATTTTAAGATTAGCTATTGGCAGAATACAGCACCATTTTACTATTAGGGGTATCGCGGAAAAATCTAGACTCTTTGCAATTTCGTGTTAATTCACGTCAATATTTTTCAAAAGTTTCTGAGTAAATGCAACTTCCTTGCGTCCTCCAGTGTAGACCAACCCCAGTAAATTTGGAGCTACAGTAGCTGTAGTTTTTCCCCATTTGATGTTGTTTGCTGTGAATTTTGTATGAATATAACCTACTTTTCCTTCCAACTATATGAGAAGATTTTACCTATTTTGCAACATTTAAAATCACAAAACGGTTGGATCGAATGAACCTTCAAAATTAAAACCTAATAGTGGCACCATTTGCATGCGTTCCCTCTGGGAAAACACACATAATTAGGTGAACAACTAAACACACGCTCCGGCCTCTAATTTTGCCTACCTTAAAACTTGCAGGCATTTCGCCGATCTTGGTTCTTACCAAACCCTATATTCTAACCATTTTCAATCAAGCAGCTGCGTTTTTTTTCATACCGTGACTCAAATCTTTATTTTTGTACTTGTATGCTGTAATGCTACATCCCTCTAATGCTCGATCCCTCTTGCTATAGTATTTGAAAAAGTGCGAAGTTTCGTGATCGCCTTCAAACCCGTCAACGTAATAACAGTGGCGTGGCGTAATCTGCGGTATATCGATTGATCTGTCATTTAAACCTATGGAAAAGGATCGATAAATAGGGTGTTCGCAACGAGCACCTAAATAATCGACTCTTCACCAAAGCTTCGGATGGGAAAATATCGATAATCGATTATTAGCGCCTCACCACTGCTGTATATGTTATAATTAGTAACTGAGCAAATAAAAGTGGTACTCATCATCATTGTTCCCTAGGCGATCTTAAGCAAACCATCTCTGCTGCGTGGTAAAACGATTACCAACAATAATAATTATGCCATAATCGGCAATTCGTGATTCCACTTATATCACCTTCCAAACGAAATATGCCACTCTCGCCTTTAAAACTGCAACTAGCTAGACATTAAAGGCCAAGCTCAAATGAATCTTTGTGTTCGGAAATGACTCAACTCGGGTTTTTTACAATGCTCATTTTTTGCGTGGATACACTCCTTCACTGCCGTACGCAGTTTTTGTCGTCTCCTGAGAAATTTCATTTTTCCGAGAAGGGTCGTTTTTGGACTAGACTCAAACGCTATCGGCTACCGAGAAACTCATACAAACAGCCCAAAACGAATGTTTTGATAAGAAAGTAATTTTCAACCGCTGCGCTATTAAAAATTACACGTGCATTCTAATTATTGAATATTGTAATAAAAATAGCATTAATCTACACACAGCATGAAAAGGCAACGAAAGTGAAAGAATAGCATGTTAATTTTTTCCCCGATCTCTAATTCATACGTACCTTACTTGTGCAATTGTGCATCTCCAAAAGTCAAAGTTTCCATGGGCACTATTCACTGAACACGAAAATTCATTCAAAATTCTGCGTCATTTTACAAAAATCACAAGCCAAGAGGCAATTTAACAATTTTTTTGGTTTGAGTTGTTAAGGTTACACATAAAACCGAAACACGCGCGCACGTGGTGTGGGTTGGATTTTAATGATTGACTCTGTTTTTCATGAGTCCACTCCTGATTTTACGAGCTGCGGATCCTACTTAACTGAGATTAGTAGTGAATAGGATTCCGACTGCAACCCGTACTCTCAGATGCACACTAAGAGGATTTCATTCTTGAAGATGGCGCCATTCCAGCCTCCGAGTGCTCCAGGGCAGTGGATTTTTCCATGTTATCCTCGTTTTCTCAACACCTTCACCTCACATTGGTTGCAATCGTGACTTGTAATTGATTGTAAGTGTTACAAAAATTATGGAAAGTGCTTAGTGTCAAGAGCAGCAATTTTCTTGTCGGCAAAAGATTCAACTCTGCGCTTCCAGCGTTATTTGTAACATCACCTTAATACAAAGAGGCCTGTAGTCTATCTTTTCAAAAAGCGGTAGCACCACTTCAAAAATTTAAGTTGAAGTAAACACATTTTTAGATTTTCAAAAACATCAATTTTTAGATATCTAGTTATGAAATAACTATAATCAGTCCTAGATCAGTCCTAAAGTCCGAATGGGCTGATCACACACGTTTTAATGTAGTGGTTTTTTTTAGCCTTGGTTTTAATTTTTTATTTGTGTTTTAGCGGTTGATAAAGGCTCTGGTAACCAGCCGAAACGTCCTGCATATTGTGTTTATTGATTTTATAGCCTTGTTTCCGACTGATTTTTTGAGTTTTTGTCGTATACATTTCGGGCTACCATTCCTAACATCTCTTTCTCTTTGTATGAAATATATTGATATGATCTAAGATTACTTGTCAGATTAATGAACAGAAATTTTCATTACAAACCATGCCGAATATTTCCGATTCAATTCCTTGTGAATGCTGCAGTGCTAACGGAAAACGCCGTATGAGACTTCAGAGGTTGCCAAATGCCTTTTGCTAATATACAAATTTTAAGGGAAACTTATGAATACTTTTCGCATAATTTTTAAGAGAATTGAACTCGCAATTTAATCCGCAGTATCTAAAAATGTCAAGGCAAAATATTTATAACTTTAGTCTAAAGTAGACGTTTGACCTAGGGAAATTCGACATCGGCCAAATGTTTATACGACGTTTTTCCTTAGCACGATAGGGTAATACATCGCTAATCACTCTCTAATTGTATATCAAGAAGGAACCTACCGCATAACTCGAGCAGTTAAATGCAATGGACTAATGTAGTTAAATGCTAAAATGGACAGTATAATACCATTTGAACATATTTGCAGTTACAGATCATATCCTCGTACCTACTCAGTTTTCCTGGTAGTATCATTTTAAAGAAGAAATTTACAAAATTTCAGACACCTGCAAACTCTCTATTCAAATATTGGCGTCGCAATCACAAAATCTGTTTTTCCTTGGCTTTTTTTCAACATCTTTGCTGAAATCTCCCCACTGGACCGCCCGCTGAAACCTCTAACAGCAAACTCCCATTTTCTAATACGACGAAAACAGTTTGAGAGCAGCTCAAAGCACAGGAGTGACCTTTCTTGTGTCAGACCGAATCTTCGCAGAGGAATCCACTCTCCGTCCTAGGGTCGGCAACCTTGGGAAAAGGGTACATTAGGGCGGCGTTTCGAGGGGGGAAGAGGGGGGGGTCGAATTGAAGTTTGTTTTCCCCGAAAACGAAACGGAGTGAAGTGAAGGAAAGTCGAAGCGTAGAAGGAGCAGAGGAGTTGAGAAAGCAGATGACTGGGGAAGTGGGTGGGTTAAGAGGGCGGCCGGGGGGGCGGGGGAGCGGGGGAGGGGGCGAACGGTGGGTAGCGAGGAAGAGCCCTTGATTGATAGAGTAGGCTACGGGGCGAGAACGCCACCCACCTTCGACATTGCCGCCGCCGAGGGGCGCAGCGCGGCCCGGCGCCGCCGAAACCCCCCATTTCGCGGCTCGAAGCGCAACGCCGCGCGCCATGCAATGTTGATGTTGCTCTCATTCCGCCGCGCGCCGCCAGATCGTGCGCATCGCCAATCGGCCCCCCGCGATCTCGCGGGTCCTCGCCGCCCGCTCCGGCAACCCGCCGGGGCTAAAGTTTTGCGGCATTACTCATGGGACATCCCTTCCTACCCTTTCGCCGCCGAGTGCTGTAGATTTTGGTCACCCTCCCTTCCCTCCCCGTTGCCCACCCGCGCCGCCTCCCCCCTCCACCCTCCGCGCCTGCTACCAGTTTCATTGGCTTTATCTCCGTTTCATCTCGCTCCTGACTGCTCCGCTCGCTTTTCACTTGTGGATCTCGCGCCTCCCCCCCCCCCCCCCCCCCCCCCCCCCCCCCCCCCNCCGCTCTCTCCGCGTCTCTCTCGGGCCACATATTTGGCCGTCCCTCTCGCGGATCTCATTGTTATCCTCCCCGAGTCACAAGCACCCCGTCCGGATTTTTCCGCTCGGCAACTTGTTATTTCCGCTCACAGATGGCGCGTCATTACGGGTCGCGGCCGGGCCGGGCCGGGGCGGCGACCCTCCTGCGCCTCCGATTCGCGGATTAGGCAACCGTAGGTGCTCCCGAGTCGGGGTTTCGCGCTCTCGCCCTCCCGCGCTGTTATCTTCGCCGTTCTTTGCGTTAATAAATTTACGGCGGCGCGTTATGCGATGGAAATTAACAGACAATGCGTTTTGTCAAACTTCGCCGCGCGGGCCTTTGAGCGGGCTCGAAACTCTTTCCTCCTCGCGCCTTTGTGACGCCGACATCGATGACTTTTATTCGCCTCTCGAGTGGATGCACGCTTTTCCTGATTGACTGGAGGAGTTTTCCCTTCTGGCCTGGGAAAATAGTCGATTCGGTCTATGCGCCGCGTGGTTGCGCACTTCATGCTTCGGAAAGGCAAAAATGAAATTGCGATTGTAGCACCAATGAATATTGCTTTTTAAGCTGCATCTAACGAAGTAGAGAAAAAAATGCAAACGTCAAATTGTTGGAGGTCTCAAAGGGAAATAATTGCATCAAAAGTTTGGAAATTGGAATGAATTATAACTGAACTAAAAAAATTCACGCACTTAATAAGAATATTATGAGTGACGTCCTTTCACATTAAGTCCTCCGAAAAATGTGTGTTTGTTACCCCATTAAAATGTTAGGATCAAAAATGCGTTATTCCTAATAGGATTAATGATGTTAAAAAAACAGCTAAAATCAAAAAGGCAGAAGTCCATTTTCCTATTTGGGCAATCTCCGTAGAGTAACTCTCAAACTGGGAAGTCCGGAAATGAATTTCTACGCATGTTATGAGTTATAATTTATAACCTCAGTTGAAAAGCAATGATATTCCATTTGAATTCTTTACGTTCAGTTTTATCAACGTTAAATTTATGCCTTTATAACTTTAGCTTAGAATTTGATCCCCCAGGTTTCAGTTGCTTAAACAGCTCTTTTTGAAGAGAAATAATTAACGCAGTGTTTAGATTCATATCCTGTCTAAATGATCATTGCAGTTCTTGAAAAGTTGGTATATTGATAGGAGATTATCCATGTGAAGAGAGACGGACAGTTTTGTATATGCTCGTCTTTTATTTTCGTTCTATTTAGATTTTATGAGATTCCGGTGGATGCTGCTACATAGGAGGTCAAAGGATAGATTCCCGCACGGGTCAATACAACGTAAGGTTTGGGGTAGTATTTGGAGGATTTTCAGAGGTAAGGCAACGGTGATTCATTGCGAAGAGCAACCGCAGAAGCAAGATGCAGCAGTCGCGCGACGTGCTTGGCGATATATCGGTTGATCTACCATTTAAACCTATGGGAAATGATCGATAGACGAGGTGTTCGTAAGGAACACTTTAATAATCGAGTCTCTACTATTGTTTCAAATGGGGAAATATCGATAATCGATTTCTCACGCCTCGCCACTGCAACATTCATCACGGAGAAGACAAACAGAGACAACGCAGTGCTGATTCGCTCGCGTGTCATAAAGTCTCATGATTCATACGTCTAAAATCGTTGCAACTTCTCAGTAGGTGTACCTATGTTGCCACTCAAATGCATTGTCTCGTGTACCACAGGAAGAAATAAGGAGTACTGTCGTCACATATCCATTTACACGAAAAAGCTCCATATATTTGTGAATGTGATCGAGAAGCACTTTGAATCGTTCAAACTTTTTTTCTTGCCTTTCTAACATTGGCTTTAAATGAGATCTAAAAAATTCTTCAAATTGGGCTAAAAAAAGCGGCATAGGGGTCATAATGAGATGTCAAATTCCCTATTCCAAAAGTTTTAGATGAGGCATATTCTGCGTAGTTGAGATTTGCAGAATATCATTTTAATGAAAGTAAACTCAAATGTGAGGTTTCTCCCTTTTGGATATTTACGGTTGAGGGGCTCGGAGGTCAAGGCGCATAAGTGCAGTTTTTGCTATTTCGAGGAATACGTGTTTAAAATATCAGAATTGCATGGAAATCCATGGCGGAAAGGAAGTTTAAACTCGCTTTTTCACGCTTTAAAATTGGATTTTAATTGTGAACTTTTCACAGAATACACCTTCAAACTAGTTTTAGTTGGGTTCATGAATATCTCATTTTTTTTTTCAAAAACTGCACTTGTCTCCGCCTTGTCGTCCAAGCCCCTCAGTTATGATTTCGATTACAGGAGTGGTTATCTAAAATATAATTTTTCGCACGTGACATCTACTGTCCCCTTCCCTCTCGGAAAATGCACTGTGAGACTATTAGACTCCTTGAGGACACCTCCAGGTACATGAAGATATTGCACCTTCAAATGTGAAATTTTCAATTGAAAATAATAATAGCAAGCATACTGAATGGCTCTCCTTTGAAATCTTTTATAATATATTTAGTTAGGTGACTAAAAATTAAGCTTTCCATACTTTTGCATTTAGATTTTAAAATAGTATGCCATGGAATTGCTCCGCTGCGCGCTGTTTTGCAGCACTATATGATCAAGACACCTTAACACACGGTACGGATGATGATTTTGCTTTAAAATTGCATTCCGCACTTGAGCACAGTCGGCGCCTGTCCTCAGCACATTCTTTCCGTCCAACCAATAGAATGTGAAAGCAAGTTAATTTTATATTTCTCCGTGATTTCATCACTCTCAAAGCCACTTTCACGGATCGTATTGATACAGTGCACGAGCAGTTGATTCGAGGTAATTAGCGTATATTTTTGCACAAGGAGACAACGTCTCGACTGCTGCAACTTTGGACGGGACAACGAGAGCAGGTGCAGCAACAAGCATCCCAAAACTCGACCGTGATTGATTTACAATACGTCAACACTTGTCAGCAATCGAAGTGCATACGTTGCAGAGCCTACCAGTAAGTCACAGAGACGGGATTGAATCCAGACCCACTTAAATTAAAATACTGCTCATGCGATTTTGATAGCACTGCGTGACAAGGAGAAGTACCTCGGCTTTGGAGGAGCACCGACGCGATGCGGCCG